CTCTCTCTCTCTCTCTCTCTCTCTCTCTCTCTCTCTCTCTCTCTCTCTCTCTCTCTGTACTTCATCCTTTTATAGCTACTTTTATTCCCTCCTGATTCTGGCACTGAAAACATTCTTTCGAACGTAGCCGTAAAGTCTAACAAAACTGTCGCGACAACTTAATACGGTCACCGTTTCTGCAAGAAACGAACTCGAGCGCTCATTGGCATTCAGGTTAAAGACCAAGTGCAGCATTCGCACACAATACCGTCAGCGACTCGGACTTCATCCCAGACGCTGTCGGATTAAGGTCAACGTAGTCGTCTTACATAACGAGGACGAGCGAAGTGTGTAGTAACGCGGAGGAGAGAAGTCTCTCCACGGAATGACACGCGGTCAAAGAATGTGCGTGCGTGACTAATAATTTTCGCAAAATCGAGCTCCCGTCGAGTGATCGATTCGTTCGTCTCACACAGAAAAATATATACTGCACTCAAGTAAGTGTTACTTGTGATATTCTCGTAAGGAGAATGAATCTTTATTTTGAGTACATATTTACTTGTAGTAGATAGCAAACTTTTCTCAAATTTGTGTGATGAGTATATTTAAAGACTATCTCATTGAGAAAACATTCCTTATTAACCATTGCTTCAGGGAATGGAAATAAACTGAATAATTGCTTTTGTCGGCAGTGGAACGATATTTCTCTGTGTGCAGAGCTTCATTATAAATGTAGAATGAAGGTTCATGGTTTGAAAACCATTTTCGCAATATTGTCCGTATTTCAACAATTTTGTTGAAAAAAAATATGTGCACGTACATACATGAAGATGAAAAAGAAATATTTATACGACTAATGATTTCCGACAAACGCTCGCACGAAATAACAAATATTTACAAATTAACCAACGTTTATCATTAATCGTTTCTGGCGTGTCTTCAATTTTAAAACAATATTCCATAACGCACGCTATGGCAGTCTTTAAATTTTTCAGTTGTTGATTTCGCGTAGCGTTTCAATAAAATATCGTCGCTCGCCGATTGCGCGCCATGAATTAGAAATAAAGTATTACTACCGCGGTCATCAAAGATTACTCGACTGAAATAATATCGACGGTTTGCCGAAACCTTCACGTCACTCATGCGCACGGACACTTCATTTCAGTATCGTTGTTCCTCGCGAAACCCGATTTCGAGATGTCGGGTGGCAATTATTTCCAGCAGCGTTCGATTTCGATCGACAGGCTAGGGAAAGTGGTGAAATTAGACGTGAATTCTGCCGAGCGTGCCATCGGTACGTATCCAACGTCGTAATACCGACATTAAAATCGTGGCGATTGTACATTTGTGTTTTCACGCAGAAGAAAGCTTAACGAGAAAACGTAAACGCTTCGCGAAACTCATCGAATCGCAAGAGAGAAAGAGAGAGAGAGAGAGAGAGAGAGAGAGAGAGAGAGAGAGAGAGAG